ACTCTACCATCGGCTGTTGAACCTTCTCACCCAGGTAACACGTAGATGAATTGCATATCTTGGGAGCATACCCCCAATACATTTGTAGCAATTTCATTTTTACGCGTGCAGTATCTAGGTTTGTTTTGTGCAGGCACTCGAACCTTGATATGAGTGCCATCTAGAGCACCTAAACACCACTATTATAATAAAGCTAGAATAAACACGATGATTTACATTATTATATTTTTATCTATAGACTAAATAACATACCTTGAACCATTTCCATTTTCCACCAGTAGAATCATCTGGAACAGCCTCAGGTTTCTTAAGTAGTTGATCTTGAATTTTTATAATAGCATTTATCACTTGTCGAAAGAGCCGACTTATGTCTCCCCAGAACGCCCAAAGTTTGCATTTATAACCCTTTGTTTTTGGTGATGTGCCAAAATATGTAATGTGATGGCAACTTGTTCATCGACTAACATATTTTTTATTAAAAATACCATTCTAGTTGCTTCAAGTCTGAAACATAAACGATGAAAAGTTTGTCTATTCATTCTTGTTACATTCTTGCACGCAATATCACTTGTATATATTATTTTTTGAATATAATTTCTTCTTTCATAAAAATCATATTGATAAACGGGTTTCAAAATAGCATGATTGTAATAATATTTCACCTGATCAAGAACGATTATCCAAATAATTTATTAGTTGCATTATGGTTGTCCAAAATAACAAACCTGCTATACATTTATTTCTCCTTTTCAATTTTCTTGTTAATCCTAGTCTTGCCATAACTGCAATTATAATTAAAAAATACTTATCAGCATCAAATTGCAATTGCAATTAAAAAGAAAAGCAACATATCATATTAATCAATGGAACACAACTGTAAACATGTCAAGGGCCCATATACACAATCACTGAAGCACATTACATAGGTTTTGACAAATTATACGAACCAAAGCAATCACTTAAGTTGTTTTGTTTATTCATCTTTAATTTTTCATTTAGTTTTATGCTACAAAATTTATTGTTTTGTTTTCATCTTCCTTGAGAACATGAAAAAACTAAAAAGAGATATGCTTTCAAAATTATAAATTGTGTAGCTAACTAGGTATAATGATGTTGAGGTCTATTCACAAAATTAAACAGAAAAATAAAAAAAAAATACAATCAAAAAATCAATTTGCAAGGCCTACTTACACTAATATTTTATTTAATAAACTAGAGACGAAAAAAGAAAAAAAAAAGAAATTCGGGATAATGATGTCGAGGTCTAAAATTCAAAATTTGTACCTGAGTAGTGATGAAAGTCGGTGGGGATAGGGCAATTTTTCATCGATTTTGTGTTTGAGAAGTTATATAGAAGAACATAAAAAGAAGATGAAGGGTTCTTTAATTTGGGTAATTTTATTAAATGGAAATAATAAATTCATTCCCAATAAATTTGGAATGAATAAGCCCATGGGTTATGAGATGAATGAATAAACCCATAATTATGGGAATGGTGTTTCCAAGGTAATGACCATTCCTTAACAGCAAAACATACCAAGTATAGGAATAAGAATCAATTAAGGAATGATCATTCCATTCATGCTCCATTCCTATATACCAATCATGGCATTACAGAAAATGTGAAAGACGATAACAGGAAAAAATAAAACACCATTAGAAGTTCAAACGTCAACGTGACAGTCCATAATCAGCTGATACTTCTTCTTCTTCCCCGACCCAACAACCACGCCATTACTACTATTCTTCTTGTCATTATTATTTTGATCAAAATTTTTATTACCAATCTGAAAATTAATATTGACGGGACAATTGACGTGGAGGTGGTACCTCCCAGACACAAAGGCCCCGACCTTCCACCTCAGCCGGCCGTCCACACGCACGTCCAACGCCGCCGCCTCGTCCCTCCGGAGCTCCGCCGCGAGATATGGCGCAAGCGGCATGTCCGCCCTGTAACAGCCCAGTCAACCCGTAGTAGGATATTGTCCTCTTTGGGTATACACCAGATCATTCCCTCACGGTTTTGCCTTTGGGAGCTAGCTCACCAAAACTCGTCCTACTAGTGAAGGTATCCACAACCACTTATAAGGCATGCTTCTTTCTTTTTCACAACCGATGTGGGATATCTGAATCCACCCCCCTTGGAGGGCCCAGCATCCTCGCTGGCACATCGATTCGGGTAGTGGCTCTGATACCACTGTAAAAGCCCAGCCAACCCGTAGTAGGATATTGTCCGCTTTGGGTATACACCAGATCATTCCCTCACGGTTTTGCCTTTGGGAGCTAGCTCACCAAAATGCATCCTGCTAGTGAAGGTATCCAGAGCCACTTATAATTCAGATATCCCACATCGGTTTTGAAGGAGAACGAAGCATGCCTTATAAGTGGCTCTGGATACCTTCACTAACAGGACGCGTTTTGGTGAGCTAGCTCCCAACGGGAAAACCGTGAGGGAATGATCTGGTGTATACCCAAAGCGGGCAATATCCTACTACGGGTTGACTGGGCTGTTACACGCTCCGTACAGGAGCGGCGACCACAGCGTGGTGTCCCCATGCCCCTGGTAAGACCGCGGCAGCCGCACCACCACCGTGACCTGCTGACTCCGGTAGGCCGCGTAAGCGTCGACCCGATCATAATATATTCTGACCCGACCGTTGGGATTCCGGGCGGAGAGGGTGACCTGGAGGCTGGCCGTGAGGAGATCGCTGGACGCCGATAGGTTGAAGACGCGGAGTGCGATGTCCAGGAGGACAAAGTGGGGTTTGGATGGGCGGAGGATGACCCATGCGAGAAGGACGGCCAGGGCGGTGGCTGTCAGCGTGAGGACGCCGGCGAGGATACGGTGGCGGTGCCTCCGGCGGTCGTGGTGGCCGCAGTCCTTGGCCGTCATGTTTGGTACAAGTGTTTTCTTATGATTGGGATGCGAATTTTTTTATAATTTTTATTAGTTTTTAGGCTTTTCTTTGTTGGGTGTGTGTAGGTAAAATTATTGTGAGGATATATTGAAAATGCTTTATATTAGATTTATCAATGTTGTATAAAATAATAGTACAATTCCGTTTTATACACTATTGTTATATATTAAAAAATATAAGTGTGATACATACCGCAAATACTTAGGTGTGCCCTGGCACACCTAGCAAGGTGTGCCAAAGTTTTCTAAAAATGAACATGTTACTTTATAAAATGAACATGTGTAAACATGTTTACATATGTTCATTTTATAAAGTAACATGTTCATTTTAAACAGCCTTAGCACACCTTGCTAGGTGTGCCAAGGCACAAGGTAGTAGCACTGGATACATACAACATCACTTTGGGGTCTTTGTCGATAAGGAAGATAAAAATGGTGCCATTTTTTTTTGTGTCGTGGGAGCCTACAATATATGGTAATAGTGTTAAAATACCATTATATGACCATAAAAATTTACAAAACACATTTTGGCCATCTTTTGTAAAAAATATTATTTTTAGCCATTTTAGCATGTGTTATTACGGCATTACCCTTAACTCAATTTTACCTTTATACAATTTGTGTTCCCCTAATTCAATTTATTTCATTTCAATCTTTAAAAAATTTCAACCCCCGCTCTGCACTTTATCTTCACTAAAATTCATCTACGACCGTACACTCCTCTCCGGCGAATTTTCTCGCCGTTAACCCGACGCTGTGCTCCTTCCCTCCTCACCCGGCGCAGCGCTGCTCCTCTCCTCACCCAATGCAATCGCTGCTCCACCGCACCACCGACCGAGCCGGCTTTCTGAGTTCACTTCGTACAAGGCGGTCGGGCCTCCACTTCACCTACCTTGAGTTGTTCGACTCTCAAAGCCAAAGTTCCTCAAGGTGCGGTTCTTTAGTTTAGGGCTTGATTAGGATTTTTTATCTTCTTTTTTCTTCACTAATAGTATTGACGGTGTTTTTTTTGTGGAAATTCATGAGGAGGTATTGAATTAGGTTTTGATTAGGTTTTCAGTCTTAACACATTCAGTTTCTTATCTACAAAGCCTTTTCATTTGTTTTTCTGTACTAGGTTGTTTTATATGATGTTAATACTATCTACTCTACATTGAATGTAGTTGTTAATAAGATGTTTTATATGATGCTAATACTATCTACTTTACAAGCTTTGTGAAGCTGCCCATGAAGCTGTTAGAAATGGTTCTCAGCTTCTTGTTCTCTCAGACAGGTCTGATGATATGGTAAGATCCTTTTTGCTTTCTATGCTCTTTATTCTTTTCCCAAATTTGAATTGTCATTCAAAGACCCCAGTTTGTAATCTATAATCAATTAGATACTATCTTTTTCTTATACTTTTGCTCTTTTTTTTTTTAGTATCATAACTTAAATGAGCTATAAGAAGTAATAACTTGCATGACTGGAAACCCCCCAAAAAGAAAACAGAAAAAAGCGAAACAATGGTTACGCAAGCTTATTGCTGCAAATTAAACATAAATAGGTGCAAATTAAACATAAATAGGATAATACTATATAAGGAGATAAGAGAACTAAAACTTCATAAACACATCTGTATGGTTGGATATGCATCTTGATTAATAATCGTTGCTTTCATCATGAGGCAACACGACTAGCCATTTCGATACTTCTAGCTGTGGGTGATGTTCAGGAGCACCTAATTCAGAATGGTCTGCATATGCAAGCTTCCGTCGTTGTTGATACAGCTCAGTGCTCTAGTACACAACACTTTGCTTGCTTGATCGGATACGGGGCAATGTCTGTCTAATTTTCTTTTTGTGCATGTTTATGTGCCTCATTAAGTATATATCTGGAATATTCCCACAGTTCATAACCAGCAGATGATACAATAATCTGTTCATATATCTATTCTTGTGATATTTGGTTTTTTAGTTTTTATTGTTTCTATTTTGTTGGAAATGTGTTTTCTACAATTCAGCAACAAAACTGCAAGATTTCTTACCACATTGTCAAAGTCAATTGATATTTGCTCATGTGTGTTAACTTTAGTGGATCTCCAGTTTTATGATTAGTTTTAAGCCTTTAGTTACACTAGGGATTTTACTTGTTCCTAGAAATATGGAGAATCTTGGCTCGCTTTCAAGCTCATCATAATAAGCATTTTCACTAAGATGACATTTTTAAGACTTCTATGTCAAAAAGTATTGACTCTTTTTCAGTTTTCCCTCATATCATATAACTATACCATATGCCTTATGAAACTGAATGATAATTATTTTTGGACCCCTATAACTATTTAGATGTTTCCCACTCAAGTCTGATACTTTTAGTTGTTATCATAGTATGATTTTAATTGTTATCATGGTAGCATTAATGATGCTATAGGCTTAAGTAAGATATCTTAGTTGTTATCACATTATGATTACAATTGTTATCATGGTAGCATTAATGATGCTATAGGCTCAAGTACGATACTTCTAATTGTTATCATAGTATGATTTTAATTGTTTTGATACGTTCATTTGTGAGATAGTTCTTTGATTTTCTTTATATTTTTGCTTTAACTGAAAACTAGATTGATTTCTGCAGGATTCCTGGAGGTGTTGAAAAGAAGAAGTGAAGTGTGTTGTTTTTGCTAAAATCACGTGATGATATGTAACCTATTATACTGCTTTTTATGCTCCGTTTGTATACGATAGGTTAAGATGTGTGTGATATGAATTAGGTGTGTTTGTTAGCTTGTACAAAGGGAGTTTTTTGGTCAAGAGTATGTAAACACTAGAGTATAAGCAACAGATGATTGTGTGTATTGCTACTTCATTTTATTGTGGATTTGTTATTGTTGTTTGTGACAAATGAGCTTTAGTTTGTCATGAGGTCACACGCGAACTTCAGACGAAAAAAATCGTCTATGACACTCTCGAGCTATACAACGAAGGCTCCAAAGCACACACGTCGCTTGCAAATAAAAAATAAACTCAGATTCGAGTAGTTCCTACACGATTGCATAACAAATATCCATAAACGAACTATGCTTGTTTGAGACCACACTGCAAAACATATGCCTCAAAACTCATACGCGACATTACGAGACTTTATTGCTTTACTGTATTTGAGCGTAATACCATGATCACGCTCCAGGTCACTCACTATATCCCTCGGCTTCAATACCCGCCCTTCTGCCTATTACTTCGGCGCAAATAAAGATCCAATGATCTTCGAAGGCAACTGTCTAAGGGCTCAGGGACTAATGTCGAGCATACATGTATGATGGTTGAATTTACATATTTTTCAATTGAAAAATTTTTGACACTACAATGTCAAAAAAAAAAAACATGTCTTATATATGATTCAATGTCTTATATAATAATACAAAATAAAATTTGAACCAGAACCGATTTCTGGGATCGATTTCTTGTACCAGAAAGCATTTCTGAGATTTTGAGATCCAAAATGATTCCAAAAATCGTTTTTGGGATTTTCGGGGTCCAAAAACCATTTCGGAGATTTTTGGCATTTTAAGGACCAAAAATCGATTTATGGGGATTTATAGGATTTCTGTGATCAAAAACGATTTCTGGATCACAGAAATCGATTTCCGATCCCAGAAATCGTTTTTGGAATTTTTGGGACTTTTGGACCATAAATGATTTCTGGGGTCCTGAAATGATTTATGGTCAGAAATCGTTTCTTGTATTTTTGGGACCAAAAATGATTTTTAGGGTCCTAGAAATCGTTTCTGGTCTAGAAGAAATCCCAAAAATCCCAGAAACGGTTTTTGAGACCATAAATCTCCGGTCCCAGAAATTGGTTTTGAGATTTTTGGGATTTCTGGAACTAGAAATTGATTTCTGGGCGCAGAAATCAATTTCTGATTTTTTTTTAAAGAAAAATAGGTAGTAAGGGTATTTTTGTCTTTGTAGGTGCCAAAATGGCTAAAAATATATTTTTTGTCAAACATGGCTAAAATTTGTGTTAGCCATCCCAACATGGCTAAAAAAAAAAAAATCTCCCTTAGTAATATCCACTTACTAGATAAGAGTCAAGTTTCCAGTAGGCAAGCTAAGAGGTCTGTTGTAGTTATTTTTATCGGAGTAGAATCAAAAGATTCAAACACCGGGTCGTATCTTAAGGAAGGTTAGCCAGATTAAATTGTATGTATATTCAGTCACAGAAAAAAGAAAACAGTCCTAAACACTCTAATCAGATTGGTTTGATTTTTTATTTTTTTTTTACTTTACTAACTACGAATGATTCTCAAATAATGCAAGATGAATATTCAACATCTAATAAATTCAATTAATGATAAACGAGTTAGGGAGTCGGGGACAATCACTTTCGGTTCTCAATACAATTACCAGACAATCAATTGCTCGGTCAAAAGATTTGAAAAGCTTACTCGTCTAGAGGTTCATTCTCAATAACTCTTCGTAACAAGAGAACAAACGTGAGCGATCAACTATCAAATCAACTAACACATATACAATACATTTACGAACAAGCCTATTTTAAACGATCCTAAATCGACCGACTTCTCCCCTTTCGGTTCTAAAAGTCGATTAACTAGGTTAGAATGGTGAACAATCAACTAAACCTAGGTTAAATACAACTCGCGTAGATTGAACAATTATTAAGCACATAATCGAAACGAACTGAAACAATCATTCCCTATCCCTAACTAAAGGATAGCCACTCACTGCAATCTCAACACAAACATTCACAATTAAACAAACCATCATATTCATACACAAAATGAAAAGAAGTGCTTACGATTAATTTCAAATCCAGTGTCGAAAAGAACAACGAGAAATCCAAACCCCAAATGATGAATCTTGGAGTTTTTACGCTCCAAGATAGAATCCAAATTAAAAACCAAAAGAAAATATTTTATCTAGGGAGAAAATTTGAAAATACGCCATCTAGAAAGGGTAAAAACTGCCCTAAACCCGATCTAA